TTGGAGTCGAGAGAACTTGTAAAATTAAACATATTTGCTTTTCTTTTGATAACTACGCCAACATGGGCAAAAAAAATTATTTTTTTGCAATATTATTATTTTTTTATAATATTTTACCCTTTTTTTAAAGAAAATTAAATGTAAGCAGTTACCGAAAAAAGATCCACTTGTAGGTGTTTTAAAAAGAGATTGCAGGTGGGGGCGGGATGAAATAGGCAGAGAATATCGGAAACAAATAATTGATTGGGTGGGGAAATTAAGCACCAATAAAGTTAGGAGACAAAATTATTTAATATGGGCTAACCAAAAATAAAATAAAACCTGTTACCAGTGATTGTAAGAGACCCAACAATTTCCTTAAAGTAAAACATAAGGATATGAAGCCAAACTCTGAAATACAACAGACTTCAGAGTGGAGTCAAAACTATATAAAGAACTTTTATTAAATAAATAATGTTAAATAAGAAAGTCGGGTCTTCTTTTAACAAGTCATTATCTTTGGGGGATAAAGGTAGTGACAAAACCAAATCAAATATATGGATTTACAAATTGTTCAAAAACTGTTAAACGAAGCATATATAATCTTGAACGGAAAAGGGAGGTTAGAGCAAATAAATGTCAATTAAAAATAGGTGGTGTGTGCGAATGATATTATAGCTAAATAAAGGAACAACATGTTGTAACACAGCTAAAACAATAAATTCTTAATATAACTTTTTAGTAAATTAACCCCAATTTTTTGATTGAAAAAAAAACATTTTTAACAATCGTAAATGTTCTTTAATTTGTATTTGTGGTATAATTCTCATACCTCACTTTTATAATGAACAAAAGTTCGTTTATTATTTAAATCGTCATACACATTAGTGATTTAATTTAGGTATTGGTTCATTTCTTTAAACAATTATGTTTATTGGTTAACCATTAATAACAAAGTAATTTAAAGATATTTGAGTCCACGCAATTTTATATAATTAACAGCCTTTCACTATCCACAAATTATACACAAATAAAACTACTTGTCATAAAACTCCTTTTATTCGGGAATCTACAGGCCTTCCCGTAGCATCATTGAATGCTTTCTTGCCATAGGCACAATTTCTGACAAGCACCCCAGTATCTTTATAAATTCGTAAAATTTCACGTTTTTTTTGCCGGGGTGGGGGAAACATACAAATTAATCAAAAGTTCTGTATTTATGCCCGGTAAATTTACAATGAGAGTTTTCTAGAAGCAAAGAACTCTTTAAGAATACAGCCTTCCTTGCCTTTATAAGCTGTTGTAAATAAAATTTTTATTATTCTCGTTGGGGAATTTCAATACTTTCGTTTCACGCCGGACCTGTAGCTTTTTAAGCACTTGGATTTCATTTGCCTTTTTATTATTGGTACAACAATAATAAAATTTTATAAAAATTTAAGAAATAAAGGG